AGGGTATGGATCTTTCATACAGGATGAAGTCACGTTGGTCTAAGAATGAGAAAAACAAGAAACTGATCAAAAGTTCGATCATGAAACCGCTAAAAGAAAATATGGACGAAAACCCGAAAAAGTATGGATGGAAAATGGATGACAGGTGGATTGAAAGACGGGTTGGATCGGGTGTGGATGAACACTCATCCAACCCATCACCTTTCCCGTCACTCAATCCATCTATCCACCCGCTAACCCGCATCATATATATATAATTAATATTAATAGATATTTATTTTGTTAATGGAGAAGACACATATCTATGAATTGGTGAAATAAGGACAACTGGAAACTTCAAGAAGGCATAGTTGAACTGCAAAAATAGTTATGTGCCGATGCAAAAATGTAGAATTGGATAACTTAAAAAAGTTTTATGTCTATTTTGTTTGGTAATCGGTTCATTCTTTATTGACAATGAATTAATGATTGTAATATACTTAATTGCTCAAGTTTTGTTGTTGTTATTTAATGAATTCTTAATTTTTGATTTTTAATTGTCATGATTTCTCTTTATAATTTATTTATTTTGTCTTTCAAGTTAGACCATTTATATTCACCCTCTACTCACCCGATCCACCCGATAACCCGTTTATGATGGATGGGTTGGATGTGGATGTAATTTTTAATGGATGATTGACGAGTATGTGAAATATGAAAAATTAACGGGTGAACGTGGATGAGCCTTCACCCGGTATAAATCCGACCCGTTGTCACCCCTTACATGGGATGTGGTCAACAATAAATGGCCCTCATTTGCAGCCGATCCACACAATCTCAGACTTGGACTTTCTACTGATGGCTTCAATCCCTTCTCCATCTTAAGCTCTAAATAATGTGTGTGAAGAAGGAGAACATTATGCTTACTTTGTCACTTCTTGGTCCAAACTCCAAAGCAACGGAAAAATGACATAGATATCTATTTGGAGCCACTCATAGAAGATTTGCAACTTTTGTGACATAATGGTGTTGAAGCTTATGATGCATTTACGAACAGAACTTTCAACATGAAAGCAATGTTATTGTGGACGATAAATGATTTTCCGGCATATGAGAATCTTGCGGGTTGCTCAACAAAAGGGAAAAAAGCATGCCCTGCATGTGGGAAAAATGTTAGAAAATTTATGTAACGTACCTCGAAAGTACAACAACGTATGTTTAAAATTTTCCCAAACAGATCTTCCATGATTATGACAAAACAACAAATATAACAATAATAAAATATGTGAGTTAGAACTTATAGATCTTCCAGGTTAGCGGTGATAATCCTTAACCTTAAGTATCCATGTGATTTCCCCTTTCCAAAAGAACAGTTAGATCTCTCATAGAGAAAGGCTAGAAAATCTCTTCGCAGGGAAATAAATTGGTAATACTGAATCTAAGAAACTAGTCCTACAATTATGAAGGGGGAGGATGTATTTATACTAGTTTTAAACTAGTTTCCCAGTCATAATGAAAATCTTTCTAATTAATGGGTTATAGTCCAATTAGGTCCAATAATCATTAATGTACATTTAAATGAAGGAAATAAATAAAATGTCAAACTTTAAAGTTGAATTAGATGGGCTGCACGCCTCATCCTAATTCACACTTTAGCATGTTTATATTTTATAATATTTTGGCTTTACATTGAATTAAAAGTGTACCAAAATATATCAACTTTATTTAATTATAAATACATCTTAATTAAGTATAATAAATCTAATTTATCACACTTAATTAATTCTATCAAATAGAACAATCCTTCAACATGATGAATTAAATATATTAATCTAATTAATAATTAACTCACTTTCAAGATTACGAATTAAATATTATTTAATCCAATTAACATTTAATTGCTCTTAACAATTCAATCATAAGGTATAATCACTTGTTGTGTGATCCATATGGTCTTATATATTAAGAAATAATCAAATTAAGGTTTTAATAGAATCCCTAAATGATTTACCAGAGAAACTTAATATATAAGGACGTCTGTGAGGACTATTCAAATTTTCTGTAATATAGAGCTCATAGTCAAGGTTTAAAAAGGCGGGTTCGGGTTTCAAGGCGGTTTGTTCCTAAGAGGCGAGGCGTAAGCCTTGAGGCATATTGAGGCGTAAGTCTCAAAAAATACAGACATATAAAACTTGATATAATTAAACTAGTAACAAACAACTCAAAAAGTAAAGGATATCCATAATTATAAGTCCAAAAAGTGTTAGACACAAATACATGTGACCTATTACTAGTAAGTGACTACGCTTCAAACACACACAAAAAAACATCTCACAAAAACAGACACATCACATTCTCACAAACACACAATAATTGCACTTTAGGTATACATAGTTCTTCTTTTCATCTCCAGGGTATGTTACTTGAACATTATGATTCCAAGCAGGATCTCTTCTATACCTAGTAGCACCAGTAGCAATATCAAGGCCTTCAGAACTACTAGGTGTAGCGGTAGAACCATGACATCTTTTCTTTGAACCTCTCACCATTAAACTAAATCTACACAGAAGTATTATTAATAACATGACTAAGGAAGCAAAGTAAATCCTTTACGAGTTAGAAAACATGAACAACAGTTTTGTAAAAGAAGGATAAGAAGCAGTGAAGGAGAAGAAGAACAACAGTTCTGTAAAAGAAGGATAAAAAGCGGTGAAGGAGAAGACATGAAGGAGAGGAGTTGAATAAGAATAGGAGAAAGAGAAGGGGATGGAGAAGAAGAGAGGAGGAGAAAACTTACCTGGAAGCTTTTGGGCTGTTGTAAGGAGATGTCGCAGGAGAAGAGAGAGTTCTTTGCGTAGGTGAATAGAAAGTAACGCTAAGGTTCAAATCCTTATTAGGATTTGAATGAATTAAGACTTGTTAGGGTTTAGTATATGGGCTTCTGTTTAGAAAGAACTCTGGCTTTTTATTAAATGAAATACGTTGGCCTGTTTTAAGTCACTGCGCAAGTGTTCAAGGCGTGCGCCTCAACAAATGCCTCAAGGCGTGCGCCTCAATCTATGAGGCGTAAGCCTCTTTACCCGCGAAAAAAACCTACGCCTTGATACCCAACCAGTACGCCTCAGCTTGAGGCGCGCCTCAGAACCCGCCTCATAAGCGCCTTTTTAAACCATGCTCATAGTGATATAGTCCTTTCATTCAACAAACATTAACTAAGTCTAGTTGATATTGTGTATATTCTAATAACTTAGTCTCTATGTCTCAATCTTTCTAAATGATCCATAATGATCATATTCGATATACAAAACAAATATATCTTTGTATTGGCCAATGACTTTATGATTCATCTAGATATGAGAATTAGAATGTTCTCTCTTAATCTATTACGAGGAATGAAACCTTTCTTGGCTCAACTACTACTCCATGTGCTTCATGATGTGCCAAACACATGTCGTGTCTACCCTGATTAGAGTGCAAACGTTAATCATGGTCAAAGTACATCACTCAGCACGACGTCAGATTCACCAAAAGCAACCGTGCGGTCATCCCTTTTCTTCTTTTTTCTTTCTTTTTCCCTTTTTCCACTTCTCTCAACCCACCCTCTATATTTAACCCCTTCCATCCCCTTTCCCACTTTTAATACCCATTTTAAACTACCACTACACACAATTAGGAGTCCAAAAATTTCACATTTAGTCATTTGGACTCCTAATACCTCACCACTCCAAATGGTCTTAGGAGGCCAAAATGTTAAAGATGAAATCTTTGGACTCCTAATTTCATGTAGTGGTAGGCTAATTGGGGGAAGTAAAAGTGGGAAAAGGGGAAGGATGTTAGAAATATAGCGTAAGTTGATAGGAGTGGGAAAAGGAAAAAGAAAAGAAATGGGGAAGGGAGAGGGGAGAGGATGCTCTGCATGGATGTGGGGATGACATCATCCTACGTCATTATAATCCCAATTTTTTAAAAGTTTTATAACTTTTGTAGTTGTTCTTCAAATTTCTCAAAAAATATATCAAAATTCATAAATTTTTATAATCTTTCATATGGTACCAATATGTAATATATAAAATGAAAAAAAGAATATGAAGTTTTACCTATTGGAGTTTTCTTAAGCCCGAAAAACACGAAACACAAATTTTTAATTCATGAAACCTCCACATATAAGTGAATATTCTATAATCAAATTTTACTTGAACTAAGTTCATTTTTTGTTAAGCGAAAAAATAAAGAAAATTAATGAAATTTATTTATTTTTACATCGAAATGTGTATTTATTCAGAGAAAAAATTAAAAGGAAATTATTACTTATAATAATTTAACTAATGATTTACAAAATTGATATGTAAAAAATATGCTGAATATATTTTATTGACGGTGCTGAAATGCATGAAAATAGAAGTATAAACACTGTTTTCATATGGACGGAGTCCTTTTTTGACATTTTGGCCTCCTCACCGCTACGAATGGTCTCAAGTCTCTTTCGGATATGTCACTAGCAATTAGGGATAATTTAGTGAGGGAAATGTTTATCATTCATATTTTTGGAAATTAAATAAAAATGTCACTTTTTTCACTAATCACTAATATTCAAGTCACAACGGATGTTGATGAATTCAGAAGTCTTTATATAGAGAAATGTATTATTTTTTGGAAGTTGCCATAGAATAGGATTCTCATTCCTTTTACATCCATCTGAGTTTTGCCATAGAATAGGATTCCCATCCCATGGTACAAGATTAATAATACAAACTGATCAGTTCACTCTTCCAAAATAGCTGCTGTCCTCTCAAAAATTAGAAAAGATATTAGAGCATCTTCAATACAAAAACCTGAACGGTGCTTATGTGTCATGCGATATAGCCAATTAAAAAACAACAAATAGAATATGTCTCTCCTTATTTAAACGGTTTTATATATTTTTAATAAGTTTATTTCCACAATGTCAAGTAAAATGTTTAGACGTAGATATTACTCGAATATATAAAATTTTTATATATTCTAGCTCGCATTCTAGATGCTATTACTCGAATCCCATTTGCCTTATAGCCTCAAAAACTCAAACAGGGAAACAACCATTCTGCCCAGAGCTACCGTCTTCTAACGACTTCTCCCGGGCATCGACGCCGACCAGCAAGTGCAAAATTGCCGTCTGCCGCCGCCTTCTGTTGTTCACCATTTCGTTTGACTCTACTCTTCATTTCTCTCATTACTCATTACTTTGTGCATATTTTTGGGTCATACATCTCCATAGGTTTGTAATTTCTTGTTGATTGTTTTCCATTATAGCCTGATACTTGTAAAGCTTGGTTATAATCAAAAGGCCCTTTTTATGCTTTCCCAAGCTTGAGTTGCTTCTGCTTGTCTAAAGAGAATTAAGGAGTGAAGCGCTGAAGCCTCCTGCTTATGCCGATTTTCAAATGGATTTTATTTCTTTTTTTTTGTGTGTGTGTTTTCCTTATGCTATTGTGAAGGATTACCGGAACACTGGTTTGTCCTAAATCCGTGAATATGAAACAATTTATAAATTATTATCAGGTTTGTATGAGCATATTGCTTATTGGGGTTTTCTGGATTGGAAATTTAACTAATTTGGTATATTGGCATTATTATGATAAATACATGAAATGATTTTGTGTTGTTCTTATTAATTTCGCACTTCAAAAATCAAGAAAAGTATGCCAATAGGGTAATAAGAAGTACAAGTTACTGTATATTTTGCATATCATGATATTTGAAAACTTATTCTCCTGATGCCATATTATATGGTGAATATGCTTTGTTTCTGGTGTATTTTTATTAAACTTATCTCATTGTTATGTTGTATAAACTACACTAATATGATCTGTAAATATAATTGTTTTTTGTCTAGGGCCGGCCTCCATATTGCTCAACGCACCCCTGATCAAATTCCAAGTCAGCAAGTCTTGCAAACCACTACCCTGGTCTTTGTGTAATCAGGTGATCAGGTGAAGCCTTTCCCCATCTGCAAACATGCTTAAGGTGCCCAAACATCAAGTTGCAGGACATCAAGCCTTAAATGGGAACCTTGGACCCCTTGTAGATGATTCTGGGCTCTTCTACAAGCCTTTGCAGGGTGGTGGCCGCGGGTCCCATGAGGTTGCATTCTATACATCATTTTCTTCAAACCCTAACATCCCAACTCACATCCGCCGGTTCTTCCCTAAATTTTATGGCACTAAGCTACTGGAGGCATCCGATGGCTCCGGTTTGCTTCCCCATATGGTCTTGCAGGATCTTACCTTGGGTCTATCCAACCCGTCGATAATGGACATAAAGATCGGTTCGAGGACGTGGCCCCCGCAGGAATCAGAGGACTACATCCAGAAATGCTTGAAAAAGGATAGAGAAACAAGTAGCCTCACCTTAGGTTTCAGGCTGTCAGGGTTGCAAGTATACGGGAGCAAAGAAACTGAGTATTGGAAGCCTGAAAGGAAATATGTTCAGAATTTTTCTGCGGCAGAAGTTGGGTTAGCTCTAAAGAAGTTTGTATCTTCAAACATTTCAGATGGCATGGATTGGAAGCCGGATTGCTCCTTTGCATCAATGGTTTACGGTGGCTCCGATGGGATTTTGTCACAGTTGCTGGAGCTGAAAGCTTGGTTTGAGGATCAGACCATTTTCCATTTCTATTCTTGCTCAGTTCTTTTGATGTACGAGGAGAAAGGAAAAAGCCCAGCTGTTAAGCTGATTGATTTCGCTCACGTAGTGGAAGGCAGTGATGGGATAATCGATCACAATTTTCTGGGGGGGCTTTGCTCCTTGATAAAGTTCATGTCTGAGACTCTTACATCATCACCCGGTGACCATAAAAATGAATTTGAATCCTCCGTTTGAGGCAGAGTGCCTTAGCCAATAGAAGATTTTGGTAGCCAGTTGCTACTGGAACACTGGAACAATGCCTCAAGCAGCAGCATATCCTACATTTTTCATTTAAATCGATAAGATCTTGATGGTCTGAATAATGTAACTGCACTTCGTGTTTCAATTTCAAGGTTTGATAAAGGAGTAACGCTTCTATTGTTTTTGATAAAAGGTAAAATATATTAAAGGATAACAAAACTGATGTTGTCCTTTAACATCAGTTTAAAAGGCTGAAACGGCAAGACAAATTACGGAAAAATCTCATACATGTCGGACATAGCTTGAAAAAAAATACTATAGACCTACACTTTGAGACTTTGAGTTGCAAAAAAGGGCTGGTACAGTCCCTCATTTATGCATAAAAATGGTTTCCTTTCTAACAGTGCAACAAAAGATGATCTTTCTAGTTTTGCATTTTGACCTTGCACCACCATAACCTTTAATGCACATTTTTAATGTACATAAAAGAGTTGTCGGGTTCCTTCTAAATTTCAACCAACTTCTCACTTCTTTGCAAACAAGCTAGTAAAGGGACATAGGAAGAAAAGACGGGAAGCAGAATCTAAATGGGACTTGCAGAAGCAACAAGTCCTCCATGTCAATGTACATGAGGTTGCCAGAAGTAGGCGGTCTATTACTCTATTTATAAGCCTCATCCATAGTATGAAGGAGTATTTCGGGGGAATATATCTTTTCTATTTATAAGCCTCGTCCATATTATGGAGTATTTTGGGGGAATATACTTTTCCAAATTAGGTTCATCCACGGGTTAGAAGTAGCCTTGATTCTCAAGAAATGTAGCAGACGGGTTATCTTGAAAATAGAAGATGTACAATTTTCCTTAGAAAGCATGTCACCCACCTGCAAAGGAAATAACTCTTTTTTGATTTTGATCCGCCTATTAAATATTGCTTCTAGGTTCAAGTTTTGATGGAGTATAGCAAATTGTCATGGAGAGCCTCTCGATTTAGAAGACCCAAAATTTAAAAAATAGTCTATATAATATGAGTATACAAAATGCTCTTCTATTTGTTTAAATATTCCTATTTTAGTATTCTTTTTCAAATATAAACATTGAAAAGTAATATTAGAATGTAATTAAAATTAATTCCTAATTTAAATTGTGGGATATTCTTATTGCATAAGGGCTAGTTATAATCATCAGCTCAATGCCCTTCTACTGTTCTACAGTTTGGGCCGGACTTGCTGTCATGCAACACTGAAATGTATAAACAAAAGAAGATGCGAAAGCTTCTCGCTTGACCGCTTTTTTAATTGATTCTCAACAAGTATAACTCCCTTTTATCAAATAAATGACCAACATCCCCAGATACTAAAAGTAGATAACTCAAAATATGGTTCTAAAAGAAGAATTTAATATTACTTGTTTTAAATGTTTTCATCATGTCAATGGCCTTTCGCTGTTCCACAATTACAAGATTCCTTGGCTGCATAAATCTTAATCTAAAGAGTATTCTCAACGTACACTTTCATCGAAACCCAACACATGCCCAAAAGAATGCTTGAAACTATAATATTTAGCAAACAAAGCATTGTAGGAAACAGAAAGAATGTTGAAGCAGAAGTCTGTCCTCCTCAAGTCAACCGGACCAACCAATAGTCTTGTTGCTCCTGATACCAAAACTTGTCATATCTGACTCCTCAGCCTGCGGTGGTGGAGGCCTAACCTCCCTTGGCTTGGCAGGATCAACAAAAATTACCCAGCCATCCAAGTACTTTGCATTCATTTCTTCACGAGCTTTTTGAGCTTCTTCAATTGTCTCATAGGTGACAAATCCAAACCCCTTCGATCTCCCTGTGGCTCTATCAGTAATCACTTTTGCTGCAAAAAAGAACCAAGTGTTGCATTGACTAAATGGAAGTTGGCAAAAAAATACAATAAATCAAGAATTTCATTACCTTCAACAAGATTCCCAAATTGTTCAAATGCTTTCCGAAGGCCTTCATCTGAAGTGAATCTTGCGAGGCCTGCCTCATTGGTGCCAAAGAAATGGTCAGTCAAATATTCAGTCCAATTGTATAGGGACTAAACAAATTTAAATTTTTACATCGTCATCAAGGGGTATGGTGTTCTGCAGGGGCGGATCTAGCATTAACATTCAGGTGGGGCCAAAATTTAATAAAATAACTTAATTTGCAAAAAAAAAAAATCAAAATGTAATAAAATAATACTGCATATGTATTTAACAAAATTTATTTCAGGTACAAATTGATATTTGTTGCAACATAAATGTCAAAGACATAAATAAATATTACAAGAATAAGAATTTTATCAAAGTCAAATAAAAAAACACCTCAAATTTAGGAGTCTTAATAGACTGATATTGTCAAATTACAAGTAAACATAGATATAAAATTAGAATTATATAGGCATAAAACTGAAAACCTAAAAGCCGAAAACAAAAGTATAAAGAATAAAGTCATTTGTGAAAACATATAATGTACAACAAAACACACATAAGGCAATTGTGAGATTGGGACATTATTTAATTTTGTGGGCTTAAGAGACTAGAATTCCAATATTCAGGACATTAAAAAAAACTGCTCTCCACAAGATTTGAACCCACGACGTTTACAATCTAAGGCGCAGGCAGTACTGCTTCCATCTTGTCTACACGGAAATGTTGTTACAATTCGACTCTGGTTATTATTATCCCATTTCTCCACAACCATATATACATAATAATATATACTCCCTCCGTCCCCCTAATATTGGTACGGAAGGGAGTAGTGTGGTTTTTAAGAAAAGTAGAATTATGTGGTTGGTAATGAGTTGATAAAGTGAAAATAAAGTAAGAATGAATTAGAGCCACACAAATGTTACCAAATATGGTATGGGACAATAATAAAGAGACATCCAAAAATGGAAAAATGGGACAATTATAGGGGGACGGAGGGAGTACATACTAATATTGTTTTTTGAGTGTGGGCCTGGGCCCTCCCTGGCCCTAAGGCAGATCCGCCCCCGGTGTTCTGTATGGTTGTTATATGCTTCCACAGTGCCAAAATTGATCATTACCCACACCCAATGTCCAATTAACGGGGGGGTGACAGTTTATACGGAACACATTGATTTTTCCAGACCAGTTTCACTATTTGTTGTGAGCAGTGACAAATTTGTTTCACACATTTCTTGTTTAATCTAATTCAAGTTTCCAGCAAACTTTTTTCTTCAAGGAAATTTATATTTTAGCTGACCTTTTTTCATGACAGTTTATAGCTTCAATTAGATATAGTAATGGAGGTTTCTTGGAGCTAATATGAACTAGGAGCATACTGTGGTAAAATATCACAAGTAGGAAGTGAAGGGTGCACTAAAGATGATGGGGAGAGCTAACTCAAGTGAGTTTTTTACTGATGACATTACACAGGTGACTGAAATGACTTATGGGATGAACTCGAAGCTAGAGTAGTTCAGGGTAGCATTAGGCCACTAGAAGCACAAGGTACATATTAGCACCAAAAAGCTAAGTATCACTAGGGCAACTTTGCTGAGAAACACAACGAGAAATGAGTAGAAGTCCGAAGTGGGAAGCAAAGAAAACCTCAAAAAGCAAAGTTGTAAGTATTTCAATTCAATCATCTACAAGGAGGGAGAGATCGACAATGATGTCACATACCGTATTAAGGATGACTGGTAAAATAGAGGGTTTAACTAGAATGTAGTGTGACATGAATGTCTCGCTGAGATTTAAAAGAATGTATACAGGGCGGCAATCCAGACAACCTCAATGTATAAATCGGAGCATTGGGCACTAAAAGGGCACATGAGCAAAAGTGGAAAGTGGCAAAGATGAGAATATTGTAGTGGACATCTGGTTGTACAGTGTGGACAGACTACGATTGTCGCACCTATAATTGAGAAAGTAAGAGAGAAATGATTTAGTTGTTAGGCGATTAGGCCATGTCTGTCCAAGAGATGCAGCAGCATCTATGAAAAATGTTGTGATCTATAGCGTGGGAAGGAGAGGCAGAACAATGAGAACTTGAGATGAGCAACAAAGGCTGAACATGTTGGTCTTAGACCTCCCCAAGGACGCGATCTCCAACAGGGGTATGTAAATACGATGATTTAAGATTGTTGAGTTCTTGTAGGCTTCAAAAAGATGTTTGATGTTGGAGCCTGTGCCTCTCTTAGCCATTTTTTCACGTGATCGTTTGTTTACTTTCTACCAAATTATTTTTTTATTTTACACATTGCATCCACTGCCATTCAATACTTACTGGAAGTCTTTTCAAGAGGTCTTTCTACATTGAGGGAAAGACATTAGGTCAGCTTAAATCTTACCCTCCAAGTCTCCAACACTCTTCCTCCAAGTATGATATACCGAGTCTGTTTGTTTTGGTTTAAAAAAGTACATCCCCTTACCTTTAAGGGGCTTTACGATTCATATGAAGTTAAAAACATCACTGTCTAAACTGGCTACAATTCTTAACCTTGACTATTGCCACTAGAGCAATGAATAAAACGAACCTAACAAAGGCCAACAGAGGGAACAGCATTTCAGAAAAATAATACTACCTCCATCCCGCTATGATTGTCCCATTTTACCTTGTCCGTCCCACTAAGATTGTATCATACCAAATTTGGTAAAGTTTGTGTGCTCTAAATCATTCTTACTTTATTCTTACTTTATCAATTCAATATCAAACACATAAAACACTTTTTATTAATTTGCGTGACAGTCCCTCTTGTCCCATTGTTTTGTCCCATTGTTAGCGGGACGGAGGCGGGACAGAGGGAGTAATATGTAGTAAAATTTAGGCACGGAGAACTATTTGTGAAGCAAAAACCTATTCAATTGAATTACAACAGATACAATATGATATCTTACAAGGACTTCGTAATTTAAAAAACAAAATATGCATGCGTTTGAACATGATTTTGAGGCATTTACCACTGACGAAGAGCTTTGAAGTAGTGAGGGTGGAACAGAATCGAACTGAAGCGAATTGGGATACAAGATTTGATGAATGTGTTAAACATCCCCCAAAAATACCGCGGAAAGCTGAGGAAAATGCCATTTTCAGGGACAGAAGAGAACTAAATTTCTTGATTTCAGGTAGAAGTGCGCAAAAAATGGCTCGCTTCCGCGTAGGGTTTTAGAGAGGAAGATTGCTGAAAGAGAAGGTCAGATGTTGACCAGAGAAATATTATACTCCGTAATAAATTAGAAAGATTTGTCAAAAAAAAGTAATTGCTCTTTTAAAATTCCAAAATGGCAAAAAAAAGGTCCTTTGTATTTGGGTAAATGAAAGAGAAAATTTCTGAAATAGAAGTAAAAACTAAAAATGTTTGAGAATTTCAAAATAAGAATGTCATATTTTTATTTCTTAAATATAAGTAATTACTTCCAAGCTTATAATTACTCTTATTCAGAAAATAAAAACATTATAATCCTATTTTGGAATATACAAATGTTTTTACTCCTAATTTATAAATGCCCTGGTATTATATACTACGTAGCTCATTGTTTGCCAGCTTATTGAAAAATGAGCATGTAGTTGAGATGATCATTTCCGCACTATATATGTTATATGTACACATATTGAGAACTGCAAAGGAACAAATTTAATGTGATGAAGACCTATCCTAATTATATGAGTGTCATAATTTCTCTTTTTTCTCGACCTTAATGATGTAATGAAAAATATGAGCAATAATAAAACAAGAGTGAAACATCGGTCATTCTCTCGCTTGTCGATATCGCAGGTTTTTTCCTCGCATGTCGAGAGTAGTGAAGCGCCACAATTAGCTGACTAGTTTTTATATTTTGAACGGTTACAATTCAAAAAGGGATAAACATGACTTTTATGGATGATCTAGATAAGCATTGTCTAGATCCAGTGATTGAGGAGGCCAAAGGACTAGCCTTTGGCTGATCAACATGGGTGGAGGGCGGTGGTGATAGTGGGCATGGATTTTCCTTGATGTGGTCCGTTGGGGTTCTCGCACTTATGCGAGTGTTGAATAATACGTAGTAGTCTCCGTGCAGTCCTATGGGAGGATCTTTTAATTCTAGTTCGTATTCTTCTATTGTAGTCTTTTTCGAGTCAGACTTTGTTTTGCTTGTATTTTTCCTATTTTATTAAAAATACAGCAAATTAGGGTGGGCGATGAGGAGTATTTTTCGATCACTTTTGGCTAAGTTGTGCCCATTCTGGGATCAACGAGTTATATTTTTTTTTTTGGAAGATGATTTAACTTTAGGTGTGATTCAATGGCTAGTAATTGAGGTGTGACTTTTTGTCTTGTTATAAGTTACATGAATTCTAATTTTTTAATATAAACGATTTACAATAAATAAAAAACGAGTTCGCAGTGTATATCTAAGATTACATAGAAAACGATCTGATTATAAAGAATTTGTTCAATGTACAAAAATTACAATATTCAATATATAACCATCTACAATAAGTTGAAGCAAATCTTTTTTTATTGTAAATGACTTATATTAATATATCATAGACTAGAAAAAATACAGCAAGACTGGAAATCACAGTCCGATCATGAGTCTTTGGATCGGGCTTTAAGCCAATCACTCACACATGTGCAATATGTCTCGTAAATCCACATACAGGCACATGTAAGTCATCCATGATCGATCCAGAATTCTCGGATAAACAAAAATAAACCATAGTACTGGACCAACCATAATTACTTAATATAATTTAAATTAATTAAAGATTGCTTTTGTAAAAACATGAAATCGCAATGAGTTATCAATATCGAGTCATGTCGTGCCCTCGCCTGATTCATCTTAACTATCATATTTGTCTTGAACGTATGAATACCAATGACATTTATTTTTTATTCTTCAAACTTCCTGTCTACTTCCACCCCTCTGCCCTATGGTGATGGTTCGGGAAGGGAGGCTGATGTCACCATAACAATTGAGGATAATAGATTTTGGGTCAGAGAAATCTTCATCATTAATATGAGAAACATCATAAAGATATAATACCATTTTTGGGCAATCTTCAGTAAGGTGCGATGATAGATAATAATAACAGTTGTAAAAATTAAACGTGTATCGACTTGCCGGTAAAAGTTAGCTGTATGACATCAGAGTTTATTAAATTATATCAATATATTGCCGGAACTTTTAATTTTACCAAATAAAATTCTCTATTTGGTAATTAACTTTAATTACCTAATAGGAGTGTTTTTTTTTTCAGCGGTTTCAAAAGTAATTTAGTTTAGAAATCACTGAAAAAATATCGCAGTGAAAATTGATACTTCATACAATTTTTTATAAAAGAAGTACTTTTTGGAAGAATAAAAACGCCATAAATCATAAAGAATACACTACCGCTCATATGAGTTATAATACTATTTTTGGACAACCTTTAGTAAGGTACGATGATAGATGCTGGTAGCAGTTCTAGTAAGTAAGCTTGTATCGACTTGCTGGTAAAAATTAGCTATGTGATATCAGAGTTTTTTAAAATATCAATATATTATCGGAACTTTTAATTTTACCAAATAAAATTATCTATTTGGTAATTAACCATAATAATTATTTAATAGGAGTGTTTTTTTTCAGCGGTTTCAAAAGTGATTTAGTTTAGAAATCACACTGAAAATTGATACTTCGTACGATTCATATAATTAGTCCTATGAAAACATAGTTCATTTTTTAGTCCTATTTGTGAAAAGTGAGTGACTTTAGTCCTATTTTGATAATTAACCTAAGTATTTTTTGGGACGGAGGGAGTATTATTTTGAAATTAATATTCTTATATTTCCTGACCATCAAGTTGTACAATTGCTTAAATTTGACAAAACACTTCTTATTTAGAACTTTGAGCATTAAGCTTTCATTAGATTATCTACAACTCTATCTGAACAGGGTGAAAAACATATATGGGTTTATTTACTTAAGGGTATCTTCAATGTTATAATGCGCACACGTGACATAAGAGTTAGCAAATATATTATCTCTCTCCTTATTTGAATGATTTTATACAATTTTGGTAAAAAGAAATCCACAATGTCAAGAAGATCATCTAGATGTTGACATTGTGGTTGACATTGCAGAGAAAACCTTACCAAAATTGCACTCCGTATAAAATAATTCAAATAAGGGGAAAAATATTTTATTTGCTAATTTTTATGTGGCTATCTCTCATGTCGTACATGCACAATTAACATTATAACATTGAAGATGCTCTAAAAAGTAAAATTCATATATTGGGACTTTGGAGTTTGGAGTTTGGAGTATGGGAAAATTGATACTTGGAACATTGTGGCCTTGTGGATGAATAATTTCAATCCTCTTTTACTTTAACATTTTCCATTTCTCTCCTTCATATATCATTGCCTTCTAACTTAACACAACAAAGTTTACATGAAATATTACATATTTAAAATTAAAATAAAGGTTATTTACAAAATGTTACTTCTTCATTGTAGTGGTTACATTAGTAAACTTTAATTTCAGCAACTCCAGTTCACTATTTTTATACGTCTTTAAGTGACCGTGAAATTATGTTATACTAATAACTTTTAGTCATATTTTTATAAAGGAAAAAATAATTAAAATATGCTTTGAAGGGGTGTGAGATGAACACCCCAAACTTTCATATGTAATTTAAATACCCCAAATTTTATATAAAAAGTTATTTCAGCACGATAGTCAACTATTATTTCATTCAAAAATGTAAATTTATGGTGCTTATTTTATAATTCATGAAGACACAACTAACATTTTAAACTTCCATTGTGAAATAAATAATGTTATCCCCAATCTATATAATTGCAACACTTTTAATTTGCTATTTTAAATTATGCAATAAACTCCATAAATTTACATTTTTGAAAGAAATAATACATGATAATGGTACGAAAATAAATTTTTATATAAAGTTTGCGGTATTTGAATTACATATACAAGTTTAGGGTGTTTACCTCACACCCCTTCAAAGTTTGGGGTATTTTTGATATTTTTCCCTTTTATAAATAAGAGTTATTTGAGTAATATTTATGAAAAAACTCAAATTATATATTAAATTGTTGGAAAGAAACTCCAACTTACATGAGAACTTATTAAAAGCAATAAAAGTACTTTTTATTCATTGAATGAAATAGTAAATAATAATACGGAGTGATAATTTACTTTATTTCTTTGCAATGTGGTCTTTTAAAAATTATGGATATTCATAGGAATACTTAAAATATATTATTTGAATGTTAATTTAATATGAATTTTATAAATATAGATATGTAGATATTTAGAGTCAAAGTTCAACTTAGAAGACCGTGAAAAGTTAAAATGGAAAGATCTTTGTATTACAGAGGTACTATTATAACACACGATTGATTGTACTCCGTATATAAAGAAAGCTATGCTGTGAGATTATATTGACTCTTGATAGATTATAAGGAAATTAGGAAAATTGAATGATGGATAACAAATCATTTTTATATTTATTTGGGTAATTATTTAAATTTATTGATTGTGGTGACCTAAACCATTCTGTTTATCAATGGCGTTAATGACCATTATGTCCTAAAATAAGGAGTGCACGGCAAATCAATTACACAATTTTTTTTGGAAGAGATGGGCTTACATTGATATCAATTACACAATTAATAGGGGTGTGTATGTATTACTCAAGTTTGCCGACCGCTCTGTTTTCTTTTTCTTTTTTCGAAACGAGCATACCACAATACTACTCAAAGTCTCGAAGGGAGTCGTCAGAGATTGAGAATATCATCATCAACATGTATTACTTCACATTTATAGAAAAAATCATTTCTTTTGTTTACTGACTTGCTTGATTAGTTTCCATATTTAGTTTAACAAATAGGAAATTAATCCAAACTACTATTATAATGGTTATTATAAATATCGTCCTTCACAAACCGTATAAACTTACCTTATATGAGTAGTTTACAGACCTTTTACCCAGAATGACAAATCAAGAACTGACAAAAGTAAAATGTATCATAAGTAGAGTAGATCCCGCTCTACTCTACTTATGATAGGCCGAAACATATAGGGATAGGCTGAGCCTGGGGCGTCTGACTCGGGACCCAACCCGACCCGCTATTGTTTAGCCCTAGTCCAGCCCGGTAGAAAAGGGAGGCTGGCTCGAGCTCTTATTTTGGTGGACCGGCCCGGTTGGGCCGGGTCTGCGCCGAGCCTAACGGTCACCAATTACTTTTTTTCTATTGAATTGGCGGCTAGGTGGGATGCGTGGGGGTTGGAATTCATTCAAAAAAACAAAATTAACAAAAAAAAATTAAAGGCCCAACCCAACCCTGACCCGGACAGGAATCGGTACAAACCAAACCGGTACAAATCAAGCCCAACCTAGCTCGTCGCCTGTCCCAGTACACCCCTAGAAACAGATATAAATGTATTTGGGTAAGTGTGCAAAAGTCTTATGAGTATTCCAAATTGCTCCTAGAATTAATTTTTAGAAATCGAATGAAGATCAACTTTTGAAAAACTAATTCCAATTCTACTTCTGCTTTTAAAAAAAGGCAAACAAAATCAATTTCAAAATCCAAACACCTCTTATTACTTGTGAAACAAACCTTGCAAAGTAACAAAGCATTCTAACCCAGCTGGTTGTAAGGTTACCGTGCCTAGTGGGAGGTCTCGAGTTTAAAACCCACTAGGCACATAAGGGTTTGAAACTCAATGGTAGGGGTGGACTCGGGCCGGGCCAACCGGCCCACAACTGTGCGGGCCCGGACCGGCCCGATGAACCGGTTGGTTGGCCGGTTAGGGCCACCCGGCCCGGTGGGATTTCGGTTCGGGGTCGGGCCCTTCAAAAGGTGAACCGGCCCGGCCGGTTCGGGCCCGGACCAATTCTAATTTGTTTTTTTGAATTTTTTTTAAGTTTTTGGATTGGGCTAGGTATTTTGGGCCATTTGAGGTGGTTAGGGTTGGTTTGGACTTTGGAGGTGGGGAGGGTTGAAGGTTAACTAGGAAAAGCCTTCCAAAAAAAAATATAATCGAGATCCGGCCCGACCCGGCCCGGACCCGGGGGTTACCCGGGCCGGTTCCGGACCTCCCAAACCTTGAACCGAGACCCGGCCGGTTCAAGGCCCGAACCGGCCCCGGCCCGAACCGAGTCCATACCTACTCAATGGAGGGAGTTTCAATCCTGATTACTCCAAGCCCCCCAACCGCCTCCCCATAGATGCCCCTGGAGTAAAAAGAAAAAAAAAACTAACCTTGCAAAGTTGCAATCGTAGGAAGTTGTTTTAGGAAACAATTGTAGGAAGTTTAAAATTAAATGAAGGTTTTCAAAAATCTGAAAATATCTCATTATAAATGTGGCCTTTTACAAACTATCTTCATTGTGTAACTAATAAAACTTCAAAAAGTGGATGACAAGAAGCCTAGAGCCCTAGATGCGTGAAAAAAGGAGAAAAAAAGTACTTGAACGAAGTGAAAAAAAAATACATGAACAAAGTGGACCTCTCAAGTATCAACATCTCCGGCCGTTTAATTTTTTATCAGACAGCTCCATAAAACCAAACACCCTACCTTGCATCTAAAGCAAAGCAGAGACGGGTCCCAAAAAAGTAGCCTCAAAAGGTGCTCCAGAGATTAAAACAAGTCCTAAGAGTTGAACTGCTGAATTACAAGAAGCAAAATTTCATTACTGAATTCGCAGGGAACATGTACACGAGGGATGAATAAAAAAAATCCACTAAAACCCAAAACAAAAAGGCAAGGTACGTGTAGTAAAGTGTCATCAGGCTTTTTTTATACAATGCCCAAGCTAAGCACTTGTGGTAAGAGGAAAACTGACTTGTTTTTTTTGGTACATCAGAAAATAAAAAAGATGGCCTTATTTGATTAGTATGACACTGTAACCCTTCGTAATCCTGATTATATAAAAAAAAGATCTGTAGTGTGCCCTATCCGAGGGTCGTCATTTACGGATCATCTCAAGTCAAGACTCAATCTTGATTTGTATTATCAGCCAAAGTGCCTCTCAATGTCTTGAGGAGATGCACTCACTATGCGTCTCAACTTCAGATTTTTATCCCGTGCAGTTCTAACTGGCAAGAGGTCTCCACCAACATGAAGTGCACAGGCCTGATTAAGATTACCTTACCTTCTCCTCTCCCCCACAATGATGAATGGGTCACAAAACATCAGATGCTTGCTGCACTTCTTTCTCTAACATCGATGTCCCCTTGAATATGGTCAACTGGATGTCTCTCGAGTACTGCAGATACTGTTTCACATATTAATGATAGAAATTGTTAGATAACATATCATACGTGCAAGAATACAAGATAACATGGATAAATTGTGGCTTGAAAAAAATTCCCACGATTGCACCGAATCCTCTTAATGTGAGCAAGTGGTGAGATAGAATAATGTACGGCTGGGTAAAACTTTGAGTGAAAAATAATGTAACTATATAAATTTCAATATGAAGAGTTTACAGAATATCAAATGTTGAGATAGAATTCTTTTAATATTCAAATTCAAACATGTCTGGTTTCTTTGTTTAGCTTATTCTTTACACATGTTTTGTATCATAAGCACTTAAAAGTTACGGAGTACATAAAAATGAATCATTGGATAAAAGTGGGCTGGGCCTGAGCTCACTTTAACTTAAAGAATATATTGAATTCGTCTACAGTGTACGTCGAAGACAGTAAGCAGGTCAGCTCATAATACTGATATAATTTTAAAAGATTACAGATGATAAAAATTTGATAAAAACTACGTTGTACAAGGGAAGCGAGATACCAAATTTCAAAAGCTGCTGAGATGTGGAAGTTGACATCAACCTTTTACTTTCCAAAAATAACTAATTTGCCAAATATTTAGAAACTGAATTCAAAGAAATATAAACTGACCCGTTCATCGGTCATCTTTCTAAACCCTAGCTTCTTTGTCCAGATGGATTCTGCTTCCTCAGCAGCAGGTAAAACTAAATTCTTAACGTGCATGGAATGTAGTAGCATCTCAATAGATGCAAACAAGGCCTGAAAATAGCCCTGCAAAAAAGGACAAAATAAATTACAATGGTTCGATTCTCAAGGAACTAAAGCAGCCTAACAGACCCAACAAAAAAAGAGCGGAACGGTTTTTAATTTGTTACAGCTATGCTAGAGAAGTACTCATCAGCTTACTTTTCCCTGATATTCCCTAGTTGTAGCCACCAAAGGAAGCTCAGCAACCTCTTTCCCAAAAACCCTAAGAAGACCAGCTGATACTACAACTGATCTGCAGGCATTAATTATCAGGAACTAAATTAGCATAAAGACTACGAAATATCACATCCGACTAAATAAACAGTCGGTGAACAAGCAAAACAGATTGAAAATGGAGACTCACTTGATCATGAGAACAACACAATACATACCACCGAACTCTTGACCAGATATGTTCCTCCTGTATGATACAGAACAAATCAATTCAACAGCTGTGCATATAAAGTTTGGAAGTGTCTTCATATATATTTTAGTAAAGCACAAAGCATGGGTGTTTCGTGACTGCGGGCATCATGTACGGCCGTTTTGGTATATTATGGGGGGTGGATCTATAATGCATCACTCAAGAGATTGTTGGCATTCAACATGTGCTAATATCCCAAAGATGTCAGCAAAGATGTCTGGAAAGGTAGGAAATGTTTTCAGGAAACAAGTTCAAAAAACTGCTTCCAATTTTTGGTGATCGGCTGAAACTAATAAAAGAGGGCTCAGAAGCACAGAAACCACACAGCACACGCTATGCCATTTCAAAAACTCAAGAGCATATTGGAAGCCCAGAAGCTTGAAGTTCTTGTTTCCCTGTTGGTTCGCAATTAAGAAAAAGTGAAAAACCAGGGAGCTATTTCTCTAATTAATTGGCATTTCAGAAACTTCAGGTTTAAATTTTTTCCCTTTATGATGGGATTGTAGATGAAAATAGGCGTACATTTACGATATTTCTAAATGGAATTTCTAATTCATAACAACATGATCTTTGAAATATTTCTTATTCATAGTGCAATGTGTTGCTAGAAATGTAATTTATTTTACCTTTATTTAGGTAATAAACAACTAATACGTAAAAAATGTGTATAGTTGTAGCCTTGAAGGTGTAGACTATTTATAAATGTTGACTTTTAGTAAAGTTATATGAAAACAATATACATACATGTATATTATAAAAGGTGTATACATATAGTAAATATGAAAAGTAATTATGGCATGCATTTTATAATTATCTGTTTCACCAACACTTGTATTCTATATTTTTTAACCATTTCTCATGATTCGAGTTTTTGGACTACTTAAAAACAAGGTCATTTCCTAGAAAATTACATGAGTGAATACTAATAACAATCATATGAGAAGATTATGATAATACAGAGTATTTAATATACTGATCATAGTAACTATAACAACAATTTTCAATAACAATAATCATAGTAATAGTGATTGTTACTGTGATTATTTAACTATGTAAATCGATCAAAATAAATTATATTTAGATCATGCACGAAAGCACAATGCATCACCAAACAGTAAATACTACTCTCTACATACAAACTATCTTCATCTCAACCTTCTTCTTTCATGTCCCACTTAAATTGTTCTGTGTCATATTTAGTAATATTTGCCTATTTCAAAATCATTCATACTTCAATATTCACTAACAACCACATTATTTCACTTTCTTATTGTGTGTCACTTTCTCATGTACCAAAGATAGCGGAATGAAAATAGTATGTAGTAATATTTATGCCAGTCATTACAATGGCAACAATTAAGGGGGAGGGAGGGGAATAATATCTGACCAAGTCTTAGTATCATGCTAGCAATAATAATGTTAATACGGGTGGTCAACGTAGATGATGGTGGCAATAGTGGTTTGCTGATGGTAAATGGCTGGTGGATGGCAGTATGGTTCTCAAGGTGAGGCTTATGCTTTAAGGTATCCTGGGTGCAGAGAGAGGAGTGAGACGTAAAGGAGCTGAGTCTTGGGATGTTTTCTTTTGGACTGAAATTTACTGGTCTGGTCTGGTCTGGTAAATGTGTGTTCTGTGTATTTTATAACAATGAAAGTCTGGTCTGGTCTGATCTGGTCTGGGACTGCCAACAGAAAACATCCTTATGCCTCGATCTCATACAGAAAATATGGAATCTTGCCCTGTTAAGAGTGGGTTAGTTATTAATGCATGTTGGGCTATTTTTTGTAAGCTGTTGGGCCTCAAACTTTTCTAGACACGACTCTTCTAGGAAAAAAAGGGGTCTGGACCTGTAAGGTACCCATCTCGTAATGATGGCCAAAGAAAGACGCAATCTAAATATATAGTAGCTCGACATGGTTTTGTTTGGTCTTCTCGTGGTTTATAGTCTTTAATACACAAACACACAAAAAACACAACTTACCCATACACCATTACAGGTATGAGATCCCGTCCAGTTTTAGCTACAATTGGATCAAAGCATTCCTGTTAAACAGAACAGAGAGTGGAAGATGTAAGATATGCAATTATTGTTTCAGAAGCACTGCGACCAATACATTAAAAACTTATAATTAGTACAGAAATGAAAATGTAATAGGTATGGTGCTACGGTGCTAGAATTGTCTCTTTGAAGACAATTTTAACCATGCAGCATCTTACTAGATTATGAACCTAGGCTGAATCGTATATAAATAATGCTTCCAATTTGCTATGACAAATGTACATCCAATATATTCAAATGAGCATTCTTTTCCAAAAAAATGAGCAACCACCACTTTCTTTAGAAGAAAAAAGGAGCAGAATAAAAATGTGTATACATATACGTGCAAGAAGACAAAATGAAATGAAATGTCATACAAAATCCGCCAATGCACTGAAAATTTTGATACATGCATGTCATACAAAATGCTTATGTATATATTTATATAGATAAACATACACACATATATAAACATATGTGTGAAAAGTTTCAGCTTTTCTGATAAGTTGGGAAACACAATGTCATATGTAAGTGTACACATCCACCCTTGACTCCTTTTTCAAACGCAGTGCATGTCTAGACCAAGAGTATTTGGCTTTGGTGCTATTTATCATGCACTTCTGGACCTAAGAGTATGAGACACTAGTACAGGAATTATTCTCCAATTTGTTGTATATTTGTATTTCTATTTAATCTACGTTTTCTTTTCTTGTATGTACCTATTTTTTATTCTAGCAAGAGGTAGCAAAATTCCTTGTTGGGTAACTTTTGAACTACAGAAACGTGTAATGATCTGTGCACCGACTCACAGAGATGCTGGGTGAAATACACATGTATGTGAAGAAAGGGGAGGGGTACATATGTACAAGTCAAGCACTGGACAGCACTAATTCCATAATGTACATTATGGAACACACACATTAGTACATACACATTTCATTTTTATATTCAAATGGCTATCAGCTAACATTCATAAGGAGCATATTTTCAAGTACTCAATAACATTTATCAAACTGTCACCTTTTGAGTTCATGAAAATTACAAAAAGTTACCCTAAGAATGTCAGCTAGATGTCAGAAAAATGAAAGATGAACATTTTGGGGTTTTCATAATAAAATGTGTGTATGATAAAAGGTGTTCTCATAAGAACCATTCTTATGATAAGCACCGTCTAATAAATGAGAAATTTGAATCTTCAACCTTCATTTTTTATTTAATGGCTAACATTTGCAAGGTGTCATTTTTGTAATTATCCTAAACTTAATTACAAAATTAACACCTTATGAATACTAACCATTGACTAGAAAAATAAAGGATGGAGAGTAAAAATTCTTACTTATGAGATAGTGCTTATCATTTATAGATAAAAGTGCATGCATGAGTGCAAGAAATGATTATCACATTTTTTAACATGCACATTTTATTTTATATTCTAATGCACTTTTGTGCTCTGCATATACACTTCTTGTAAATTCCAATACACAATTGTTACGGTATTTCATTTAAAGTTCTCCATAATAACTATAATGCCACCGCGATTATTACTTAAATTTTAAGTCTTCCATCCATTTCTTCACATCAATGGCTATGATTAGTTCTTATATTCCACCTAGGAAGCACTTTTTATTTGAACCAAATTATATACATATATATTTATATAAAAACACATATACATGTACATACACACATTCTCTCTCTCTACTTATATACATGTGTCTCTTTTTGTGCTCTGGTTCAAGTTAAAATGCTTCGTCTCGGTCGAGTGTGCAAAATCTGTACATTTATGTTCAAATGTTGTACTCCCTCCTTATTGAAATGTTTCTTACACTACCCTTTTTGGGATGCATTTAAATTTTTACTACACTTTCTCTTTTTAGTAAGTCTTACTTTTTCTACGTATCTATCTTCTCTTTCATACTTTTCCACCCTCGGTCCCTCCTAGTTTTTCTACACTCTTCATAACCCCTACTACTTTTCTCTTAAATATTGTTTCAAACCCTATTGTAACAAACATTTCAATATGAAGGGAGTACATTATTTGGTGGAGTAACAAAATATCACCTTATTTGAAGTTGTTGCCGCATTTTAAACCAATCTTATTCAATTTTAACATTTAGAGCCATTAGAACCTATGTTCAATACACCAAATTTATTTTCATTTCTTAATGGGAAGAAGCTTTGCTAATTTGAACCAAAAACTGTGTGTGTATCGCTACTAAGACCTTTCCAGTCAAATACATGGTGTAATGAGGTAAGAAATGAACTTGAACACATAATCAAAGGAATTAAATCAGCTATCATGTCTCAATAGCTGATCAAAACTCACAACAGATTGTATAATCTGCTGAATTAAGTATACAGTGCATACCAGATGTGTTTCATTGCTCCAAACAAAAATTATATTAACTAATCATGTTTTGTTTATAGAACAAAATTTCACATCATGGTGAAGGAAATTACATACCAACAACAAGCCTTATTCCCAAAAAGAGTTTGGGGTCAGCCATCATGAATCGACATATTATATCGTAGTTAAAAGCATTTGATAAAGGAATTACATAGCAGTGAAAAAAATCTTACCCTGAAAATTGCAGCAACCTTGGATAATAGTGGTAGATGCTCTGCATAGCGACTTTTCCCACTCAAAATTCTCCATTGGATATCATTTGAATCTCCATCAGATAAACCTTTCTCTAAATGCTTCTTAGTTAATGCAGCTGATACTGAAGGTTGAATTACCTCAGATCCTTTTGCAACACGACTCTGTAGGGCTAAATAAATCGTATTGCATTCATTACAGCAAAACCATTTATCTGTTGGTAATTCCTATGGCCAATTTTAGAAGCATCAGTAAATACAGATGAACTGTACAATCATTATACCTCACATAATATGTGGTTTTAGACCTACCTTAAGATCACAAAGCCCAATTTTCCGCAAACAACCAACATGGTATTCCTTCTCACACTGAAAATTTGAAGATGACGTTGGTAAGGAAGACATATCATGGTGTGCTATCTCTCAGAAGGCAAATGTAAAAGTAGTCATCCTTACTTGATCACATAGCATCACTGTTCGGTCATCAAATGTTTCAGGACTGAAATCTGGGACCCTACAAAGTATAAAGATGTAGAGAATCGGATCATTGTATAAATTCACTCATATTATATAGCAGAAGTCCTGTTCTATTATGCAGAATAACTTGGCTAGTGAGTGACATTATTTCGCTACAAGGCGGACTCAAGCCCTGATAAAGGAGTACGCTTCTGACGACTTTCCCCCCACACTTGCTGGCTTGCTGCTGGTCATTAAGGTTATACAATACCATAATAAATACAAAAAAAACAATGCATACCTGCACACAACACAGCCACCACTTTCATATGAAGGTGCTCGGACCACCCTGGTGAGCCGAATAATAATGGGCCTAGATTCTCCCGATGCATTTCTTCCATTGTTTCCTGTACCAGATTTGTCTTGACAGTGTGTACAAACCCAATTCGTGGGTGGAGCACAGTCTAAACCTAAACAGGCTGCAGGTATAAACATGAATGCTGATGAGCCACACATACCAGGCAACAAACCACTAGCAAACGTTAACTTAGCAGAGAAACTCTATATACAATTCTAATGATCTCAGATCCTTACATGATATAAAGCATTTATTAATGGAATACATAACTTTCTGTGGGTGTCTTAATGTGGTTCCACATTAATATAATTTCATGACACGTGCAAACTCATCAAAGAAAAGTGAAGAAATAAAACAAACACTTCAACCAATTAACTTTTTCTTAAAAATAGAATGACCTGCGTGAAAAGCCTGAGGGCATGCATCACATAGAACTAATTCTCCTCCAATACCGCATAAGGCACACATATCATCACTGCTGTTGGCAGCAATACTTTGACCACTAGCTAGCATCAAGGCAATGTCATGCAACGTCAATCCATTGGAGGTGTAGATGTGACGGTAACTAGTAAACAGAAGACAAAAAAGTCATATTAGTGTCTGTTTGTCATACAAATAAATGAATGACATTATTGATATCCAAACTTTAAAAGCTACTTACGGCTGACGTTTAGCTGACCATCCGGCATGAGCTTCAAATTGGGAAGGACTTATCTGCAAACAAGGTCAACATATTATTGATGAGAGGAAGAACAGAATCAAGAGATGGGCAATTCAACGCTGAACTGTTGTCAGATAATAGTATATAAGCAGTCAACTTACCTCTGTATGGCAACAACTACAGAGTATACCATTTCCACGCTTATAGCCTCCAAGGATTTTCTGCAAAATATAAGAAAACCACATGAATCACACTTCACTAGTAATGAAAATGAAACATAAGAACTTTAGAACAGACAAACAACCTTCCCCTTCGAATAATAAGCCAAATCTGTACCATCAGGAAGTCCATTAGGCATGAATAACAATCGGTGCAGGTCATTATCCCTAATGCATATATAGAAGTACTTAGTCAACTTAATCCAAAAAATAAATAAATAATGAGACATTAATAAAGGATGAACCTCTTCTTTGTACCGCCTCCAGATGTCTTTTTCTGCTTCTTAACTGAACCAGTGAATGATCTTGACCTGTAATAACAATTAACAAATGCATATTAGTAAGCAACTGAGACACTATGATGTGTTCGCTCACGTAGTCACCTAAGACATGCTAGAGAGCACATAAATGAGGACATACTTTTTGTACACCCGTTCCTGCTCCTCTGCCATATCCCTAATACTATGTTGGCTCAAGAAGGCCTTGTCAATATAGGAGGAATTCCGAGCAGGTGTCCAATCTTTTGTCAACTGACTGCAATAAAAAAAACACAATGAAACAAATTAAAAACTGTCAGTAACTTTGATTAGTAAAGAAAGATTCCAGACTATATCCATGTCATAAAGCTAAGTGACCCTAGGTGTAGAGTAGACAAGTTACTAAACACAGCCACTTCTTAGTCAAATCTAATACTGCATGGCCAAATGTAAGCAGCATTTATGTTGATTAGAAACAGATACACCAATAATCAGCACTTAGACATTAAGGGTCTAAGGTTAACAGGTGAAGAATAAAAGAAGTGCATTAGTTTCTAACTTCCAGAAATTTATTCCTGTGGAGTACAACAGCATCTTATACTAAAAGTTTCGACATTCAAGTTTCAACACTGTATTGGAGACAAAAAGATGATATCTAAATGGATTCTAGACTTTCAATTTTACAGAAAAAAAAGTTCACAAAACATTCAATCTAAGATTATCATTTATCATACAGTTGGATGTGAGAGAAAAAAAAACTGACAACCATTATCACATACTCCTTCCGTCCCATTGGACTTTGCCAACTTTCCCTTTTTTGTTGTCCCAAAAAACTTTGGCACTTTTCTATTAAAGCAACTAATTTGTGGTTCTGCACATTTCTCTCTCCTCTGCACAAATCTCAATCACACAGTTTTTACTATTCTTATTTCTCACCTACTTTGCACTTGGCAAAGTCCACCGGGACGGAGGTAGTATAAGTCTGCTGCAATCAAATAGATCAATGCTGACAGTGGAATTGAATAAAATAGGATTTATGGCTACAAAAACTAGTGAGAAAGGTTCTCGATATCGTCCAAGATGTGTGCGTGTAAAAAGGAAGAATTATGATAGAATTATTTCGTTTGATAAGATGAAGGAAAGGGAAATTTGAGATGACAAAATCAGTAAAATTCCAAAATACTGCACCTTGCTGTAGAGTGAAAGATGCCTGAAGGTTTCTCATGATAAGAATAGTTCACCCCAGCTGGCCCAGCAGCATCACGGATCTGCACAAGTGTTGCTGGAAAAAGACGAGCCATCAGAAGTTGCACAATAGGTTATAAATAATGGTCTAAATGTTCAAGGCTCAAGCTATCATGCCAGTGTTGTGGCTACCATTCACTGACAAGAAGCTCAAATAAAAATTCATGCTTATTCAAGACACACTATGACTCCATAATAAGACTTTCTAAAGAAGCCTTACTCGAGCTTTATGAAATAGCCCAACATGTTTAAAAACCCAACCCACTTTAAAAAGAGCATAACTCAAGATTTTTCTCTACAAAATTGAGGGGTTAGCCTCAATAAGCCTCAGCGCATTTGAGCCTCGGAAACCATATGTATAAGCCACATTTAAGTCCAACTAAGGCAAAAGTGCTTAATCTTTAGAGGTATTTCGTCCTTGCCTCAGCACCTCAGATGCATTTTCTTCTATGAATTCAAAATGCAGAAATCTAAATTAGTCATCCGAAAGTTCATCAAGAGCGACTTCCAAATTATTGAGGACCTGGTTAGACAATTTGTAGTTTCAAGACATTGCAGTACTCTCAAACCAATTCAGGTAAACCCATTTAATCATTGCTGTTTATAATGTCTATACATGCGGAGCATAGGTTTTAAAAAGGCCAAAAGATGGTCAGAATACAAACAGATGGGATTAAAAAAAATATAACATAGAAAAACTACTTTATATATTCACTACCATAATCACCTTTCCACATCTGCAAATTTTGCTCATTAACTGATGAACCAGCCACATCTTTCAACATTTGATCAATACGATTGAATGGTGTAATCTTTAGTTCTTGAATTATGCTGTAAATAGGCTTCCCGTTCTCCAAATATATATGATTATTTGGGTGTCTAGTCTTTCCGCCAGCATGCAGCTCAAATTCATACGCAGTCAACACCTGCTTGTACTATATATGTTTAGTGCAATTCTTAAAATGCTTTGTAACTCTTCTAGAAGAAGAGACCAGTCAGACCACTTACCTTGGACAGATTGCAGCACGAGCAGCCACATAAATACCCACAATCCTTTACAATTCCTGGAAGCTGTTTCTGATGACCATTTAAAACAAAATTAGAGGGTAATAAAATAAGACAATCACACATATGCCATATAAAAATTACCTGGCCAGATGTTGAAATATATTTCACGCGTGCCCCATCTAATATCTTTGTTGATAAGAGCTTCTTGACATTCATAGGGTAGATATCAGAAACAACCTCCTTAGACATGTTCAGTTCCATGTTAGGAAAGTGTAGGCAAGTGTTCCCTGTTTGATGTAATTCTCTAGTTGTGCTTGAATTCAATTCAACATCCATACCACTAGGTTCTACAGGATTCCAAGCCTGAACATTATTTAATTCACCACTGTCCTCCTTAGTAAGAGGTGAGGCAGCTTGATTAGAGAGTAGACTTTTATCCTCCTCATATTTGCTGAACTTGAGTTTTATCTTTCTGACACCAGTGCTGCAAAATTCCTTTGGAATTTCAAGTACAACGCATGATGTGGTAATCGGCCCAAAAGCCTCATTGCTTGTAGGGTCTTCAATACCTAAACTCTCTTCTGCACCAGAACATGAAGATGTTATTTCAGCAGAAACAACTTGAGTATTAACTGGGCACTCAACCAGTTGACTACTAAATGTTTGGAAGCTCGAAGTATGATCCCTAGGCGACAAATTTGGATTTGAGACTTCTGATAACATATCATCATTTGAAACTTCCTTCACTTCATCTGTAGCAGGGTGTTCTAAACCAGGGCTGTTTGGACCATCAGTTTCCTTCCTCTCAGAAAGGGACTCAGTGTTTCCAATGTTTTCCAGGCTTTCACGTGTTTGGTTGTTAGTGAAGCACTCAATGTCGGTGCAAGCAATAACTTCCTCCTCATTCTTATTACTGTACAGCTCTCTTTCAGTTTCACCTACCACATTCTTACTTTCACGTTCCAAAACAGCCATCGTTGGCTTCTCAATTTCCATCATTCTTTCACTTAACTCTGCCACACAAACTTCACCTTCAGCTTCCCCCATTGAGAGGTAAACTTTTGATAACTCAAACTATCCAGAAACTGTAATGAAGGCCACGCCAAGACATGCAAGAATCTAAACACAAAAATGAGAAGAACGACATTACAATCCCTCAATCACTAATAAGTATAAAGCCAAGCCGTGGAAATATGATATGATCCCAGCAAAATTAGAAAATGTAATTAGAACTTGAATTCCAAAAAAGAACTAACAAAAGCTGGGAAAACATTATTATTGTTATTATTGTTATTATTATATAACTCCTTCTATTATACCTAAACACGAGCTCAACTAACGGATACAATCCCTGAGTTTCTCCAAAACCGCCACAGCGGTTTGCCTGTTCAAAATCCCATACCACACATCAATTGTCCATCAATCATGCCTTCCCCCAATACATAACTCCGCGAATCTCATGAGAAATTCAAAAGCGTCTCCCATAGATCTGATTATTGAACCAGATTCGCATCATAAACATGTACGGATGCATGTAAATAATTACTCCATATTGTGTCAGATCTGAGAAAGAAGGAAGTGAGAGCGGTGAAGGGGTAGGGTTAGGGTTTTGTGCTCGGAATTTTGAAACAAATAAATCTGGGCGGAAGAGGAAGTGGGTGGATGGAAGTGTGGAAATGGAGACAGCGGCAACTGACGAAACGGAAAATTCTGTTCGCGGTTTATGTGACGGAAGAATGATTATAGGCTAGTTGTGCGTTGAAGGATTTCGGAAAAGAGAGGGAGAGCGTGACGGAGTCATACTCCGTATATTGGAAGAAACTAGAAAAAATGGGTGGGGTCCAGTCCAGGTGTCTCCTGTTTTTCAGATATGTTGTGACATTCAAGGGTCCTGCATCCTGACTTTTTTAACAATGGGTGGGGTCCAGTCCAGGTGTCTCCTGTTTTTCTTCCACGTCGCCGTGACGATTTGCAATTGCCCTTATTTTCTTTACATGGGATGGCCCTTATTTTCATTCGGGAGATTGAATTTTTTATTTCGTGTGTTGAATTTGTGAATAAATAAAAAAGTTTTAAAACTAATTGTTTGCTATACCTTAGTAAAATTCATTTGATTTATTCTTAATTTTGTGAATGTTGTTGATGCCATTTAAATCAATCAAACTCGTGCAATGGTCCACAACACGATTGTTATCTTTAATAAGATCGTTTCTACATTTGAAAAAAAAGGATGACACCCCATCCCTGAGGGCCCCACAACCCCGACCGGACAGTACGTTAGGAGGATGTAAGTTGGATTATAATTCCAATCTGATAGATAGAGAGTGAAGCTCTGTCCCAGGTACTTGCAGAGGCCCTATGCATTTTTTAGCATAGTAACTCCTCATCGCAGTTGCCGGGATTCGAACCCGGGACCTAACTCTTGTGGCATTCCCTTCATACCAGTTGAGCTACGCCCACTCGTTTCTACATTTGAAAAATAGAACATATCTCCTTAAGGGAAATATTTTAGTGATCTACCACCACTCACGTGCAAAATATTGAGGGATATATAAAGTCTCATTTAGCCTATAATTTAGCCTGGTTGGTTAGAAAATTTAAGATAGATAATCTCACAATATTTTGACCACAAACTTCAAATAGAGCTGCCCAAACTCTTTCAACTTAATAGTTGTGGAAAAATATTGTAATTACCTCCAACTTTGATGAAGGCGCGTGAACCAAATTATGAACAAAAGATAGCTACATATGAACCAGATATGAACGGAACATGATCGAATGGGACTCGAAAGTCACGTCATAAAATAATTACCAGAAATGAATGTTATGCAATAAAGAAAAACTAGTCTGTGCAGAAAAATCGTAGCTAGTAGCTCTCAATGTTTATATTTCTTTTATCAATATAATTTTGATAAGAGTTAGTTTAATTTAATCTTCTCTTGTTCTTCCATGGTTCCATATTGCTCTATTTGAAGTCAAAGACTTATCTTCATGACCTGTGAGTAGTTCCCACAGAGGAATGGGGCAATATTGGTAAGGAATTGTATTATATTCTTGAGTATCGGAATCCAAACATGGCTATGTATTGCATGTGGCTATTTCTTTTTATTTTATGAGTGTTGTTATTTATGTGGCTTAGGGGAAATCTTGGACACAATCTCACACACTTAATCTTGGAAAGAATCTCGCACATTTAATCTTGTGCTATGAGAATAGCCAAGTTTAAAGGGACATTTTATACAAACCCAAAAATCAGTTAATATAAATCTCATATCATGAAAGTGATCATACATTGACATACACTATGAGAGTGGATAAGGGACTAATGCCAAATACAATTTAAGTACCATACATCATGAGAATGGATCTATGTGAAATTTTATTATGTATAGTTGACGTATAAGTATGAAAGGGTCACTCCTACATAATGGTGCATCATTGATAGGGGATACACTTGATTTCTTTTACCAATTATCACTAACATTAAGTCGGTCAACAATTTTAATTATTCACACGTAAATGATGCACCATTTTTGTATTTAGAAAGTACAAAAAAATTGTTACATATCACATCTCAAGATTGTTATGAATGAATTTTCAACTTTTGGTGATATTGGTAATGAACAACTATAACTTTATAATAGAATAAACATTGTATATTAAGAATTTAAAAGTATATTCATCATCAACTATTAATTAATCAATGATCTAAAGTGACTGGACAAGACAATTTCCATCAAATGAAATGGCTATAATTTTTTGTATTTGTTGTTTATGATGCACTGCTTGTATAATCATGTCAATCAAGAGATGAAAGATTGGTGTAATAATTTACTGCTTTTTTATTCAATAAGAAATCTTGTAGATAATTTATATGTAGTACTTTATTATTTTTTATGTAGACATTTTCTAGTGCGAGAATGCTTCATCATATTCGTTTTCCATTAAATGTTACTCCCTTCGTCGTTCTCACAGAGGTTACAATGCTTGACTAGCCATAAAGTTAATCGATCCTTGTCATTAATAAGATTATTTTCAGAAACTACATTAATTCACAAACTACATTAAAAGTTTTTTAAAATCACATAAAGAAAAATCAAATTTAATAGTAGTAAAAGTTTCATTGACCATATAATAGTGCACAGAACCTTTAAATAGAATGGAGCTAGTAAGAGATAATAAGATTAATAACCAAGTCTCAATCATGGTAATCAAACTTTTGTCGAGGGGTGGATTCAGACTGGGCGGCCCGCCCCGGAACCGGCCCAAACCGGTTACTGTTTGAACCGGCCCGAACCACCGGCCCGGCCAGGGACTGGTCCGGATAGGCCCGACCCGCTGGGATTCCGGTCTGGGCTCGGGCCCCTCAAAAGGTGAACCGGCCCGGCCGGTTCGGGCCCGGTCCGGTCCAATTTATTATTTTTTTCTCTTTTTTTTTTAATTTTTTTAAGTTTTTGGGTTGGGCTGGGTATTTTGGGCCATTTGAGGTGGTTTGGGGTGAGGGGGGGTTGGGGGTTAATTAGGAAAAGCCAAAAAAAAATGAACCGAGGCCCGGCCCGACCCGGCCCCGGGGGTTACCCGGGCTGGTTCCGGGCCTCCCTTTTCATGAACCGAGGCCCAGCCGGGCCCGAACCGGCCCGAGTCCAACCATACTTTTGTTTTTGCCACATGGGACCATAGTCAAGTGTCTCCCAATGCCATTGTGCTGACAGTGACCATTTCAACCACTATGAGCTATTCATACATTGGCTAGGCATAAAAACACTATCAGTATTGCCGAGTTTGGAAAGTGGCGGAAACTGGCAACGGCAATGGGGGGATGCGAGTCCATAGAAGCATGGTTGACGATTCAAAGTCGCTATACTAGACACCACATATGCCAAAGAAGAATGGTTCAAGCCACTGGTTAGAGAACAAATGGTATTTGACCCTGGTGCAACATCCTGAGTACTGGTACAAACCCTGGTACAAAGCTAGATAGAGAATAAATATAAGAACTGAGTTTTAGGCATTATGAGGGGCATTTAAGGCATTTCCTTCGCACGGACACCTGATGTATTTACTTTCTTTGTTTGACTTAAACATATCATTTGTCTATCCATTAGCTTGTAGCTAGTACTTGTAATAAATCTTGTCATTATTCAGAACATTAAGAACAGCCCTTGAATTGTTTTACAATCACAAGTGATAATACTATAAAAGGCACAATACTATACAAAGGCACAATTTCACAATTCACAAACTACAAACATTAGTTAACAACGTATTTCCCTGTATACTTTGCATGAACTAACGTTGTGCATTTGAAGCCATATTATACACAGGCACAAATGCAGACACAGCAATACATATTTACATCTGATTATCTGAATGAGGAAGACTTTACAACACCAGCTAAAGACCAACATGATATTTACAGGGTACTATCTACAGTGACAAGAGATTTAAAGCAAGACCAAACACAAAACAGTCAAAATGACAACACAATTTTGAAAAAGACATTTTGTATTATCTACTGTGCTTACAAATAGTGCAGAGGTGAAGTCCATGGTGAATTAGAACGCTGGGAAAAGCCAGCCCAAGGTCCATCCTATAAAGAGACCCGCGCCAGCAAGGCTTAAACCAACAGCAAAAACAAGAGCACACTTGCTCAATGTGATTCTTGAGATACCCTGCTTCTTCCTCGCAGGTCTACGGTTACCTTGACATTTTTTCAATCGTCTGCCTTTGAATTGACCAAATGGTAAGGGACCTTGAATGTGAGAAGACTTGCTTTGGTCTTTATTCCTTAATTGGAGGCATAAGATCTCCAGCTGAAGGATTTGGTGCCACTGACGATAAGCAAAGAGGTAGGAAGCCTGTTTGAAAAACAAATCAATGACATGCTGTTTCTCATCACAAGCTTGTTGTGCCATTCTCTCAGCCTCCCTTGCACGGGTTTGGGAATGGCAGAGTGCTTCAAACAGCTGAGCTTTGCTGAGTTCTCCAGACCCTCCTCCACTTTGTGTTTGCAAGTTTGCCATTTCAAAGTTCCTGTCACTGTTGAATGTATAACATAGAAGAGTCTAAATTCTCATTTCTCAACGATTCATGAAAATTAGAAGAAGAAAAGAATACAAGAATAATATCCTGACTAATCAATTCATTAATTGTGTTTAAAATTGTGAGTTGACAACAAAACTATACTGACATAACATAATGATTTTTTACATGAATGATTAACCTGCAGACAATGAGTTTTAGCAAAAACTACCACCTCCTTCCTTAATTTATCTCCTTGGTTGACTTAGCATGTTTTTTAAGAAGTGAAAACTGTGGGGTTGAATTTTATTTAGAGAAGAGAACTAATATCAACTACAAAATTGTTCTCTTAAAACGGGGTGGAGATAATTTGGAAAGGACGCAAAAAGAGAGAATGAAGATTATGTGCTTGTATTTCAATTTGAAGCCGCAACATTATTTCCGTACATCAGGGAGTGCCAGTGAGGCGCGGGATTAGTATTATGCATATCACAACATTGTTCAGTCCAACAAGGAGTGCCAGTGAGACACGGGATTAATATTATGCATCTCACAGAAGGTCTAAAAATATCATGAGCTTTTATAGTGTTACCAGCAATATTATAACTTTACAAGGAACCTACTGCCGTAAAAAGTTAAGGATGCTCAATACTTGGATATCCAAATTCCAAGTATTCAAAATTATACTTAAATCTTACCTGTAGATCAGCTGTGTAGCTAGTGTTGAAAGACGGAGTTCCCGCATCGGGAACTTCGGTGGGTGAAAGGGGAAATACTCACTATTTATTGATAGGTTCCTTTTTTTATACACCCTAACAAATTATCTCTGTATACCTAAGATATTTTGTTATCTTTCTTTTCTTCTAATATTTTACTTGGATTATAGTTTTGTTTCGTGTCTAAGAACATAGGCAAAATTAGCCAAACCTCTGATTTCTTGTGTTCTTTATTTTGCTACATTCTAGCCATAAGCCATTTATACCTATTGTACAGTATAGTGGTTATTATTTTATTACATTACGGTTAGAAATTTAGGTCATATGGACTTGGTAATTAATGGAGCTTTATGTTCCACCTCCCTTTCCCGCAAAAATTTCTAAGCTGTGGTTTTTCAGTCTAACCATCACTTCCTATTCATCATTGATAGTGTAAGTGAAAATTGTACAAATGAATATTTTAGTTGCCTGAATATGAATGCTTCTGCACAATCTTGAGAATAAAATCTAGATGCCTAGACTAAGATCCATATATTTGACACTCTCAAATTACATGTGTACTATACACTTAGACAATATAAGTCATTTACTGACATATTATATTAAACAAGTAACTGCTCCTTATATAAGGGCAGCCCAGTGCACATTGAGGTCACTGGCTCACGCAAGGCGAGGGTCCGGGGAAGAGTCCTACCACAAGAGTGTATAAGGAGCAAACCTTCCCTAGCTTGAATCCATGACCTCTCGGTCACACAGCAACACCGTAACCGGTGAACCACAATGTTGTTGTGTGACCGGGAAGTCACGGGTTCTATATAATAATAAAACTAAAATATAAGGCATTATAAATTATCTGGTTGATGATAGAACAATCCAGGAATATTGAAAATTACAGAAATTATATCAAGAAACTACTGCACACTTTATTGATGAAGATTGAAGAACAAGAAACAATGGCCGAAGCCCCCAAAGAGAGAGAGGAGTAGTCTCTAACTTCCCAATACAAGACAAAAGTCTAAAACAGCCTACTTGACCTCTCCCAGCTTATTCTATTTATACTATTCTAGTACACTTATTATTATTATTATTATTATTATTATTAATATTATTATTAGTCTATTAGGCCCGATTCCTACCAGTTGACTCTTTAGAATAGAACTTCAAGTGTTGATACGTTAAGTTTAAGCAAACAATTGATCCATCTAAGTCCCTAAGACAAACAAAGGGCATAAGTATTTCAAAATTTATATGCTTTCACGAGCCACCATCTTGTCTTGGGACTTGGATGATATGTTAACTCATTCCACAAGGGCCTACTCTAAAGGTACAAACACATGTCTTTTCCTCCTATCAGATGGATAAATACCTCAATTGTTGTCTGAAACCTTGTGGTGAGAGAATATGCACACCAGATGGGAATTGAGCTTTCACTTTGCTTACTATTGGCACATGTCCTGAATTGCAGCTAGTTGCCTCTTTTATCTGAACCGAGCTATCGACACAATGTAGACCAGCGTGCAATTCACTACCAAAATACTTGGATTGAAACTGCGGAAGATCCCAATTTTTTATATAGCTGGATGATTCCAAAGAAGAAGAAGAAGAAGATTGAGTCTCCCTATCAATTGCACACCACCATGGTGCCGCCTTCTCAACACCAATGGGATGAGAGCCCAAGGACTTAATGGGTTGGTCGGAGGCAAGGCAGACATAGGGATCCAATTCTTTAAACGGATCATCAACATCCCAGAAACTCTCAATCTCCCTTTTTTCAGATGGCATTTCTGAGTTGTCACCATCTGGACTATTTCGTAAACGTGTCATACAAACATCATATTCCTTAAAGTGCAAGAGATCATTAGTTCCTGCATAAGCTTGAGGGAAATAGTATTCAACAAATTGGCCCTCCCCAAGTAACTTTGAAATCTGATTAGCACAGAGAGGGAAATGGTCAAATTCTTTTGCTGCTTTACAGGAACTTTGGTCAGACTGTGATTTGGCTGAAGACATTGCAAAATCGAGATAATTATGTTGCAGGTGAACTTGTCTTATGACACTGCAAATGAAATAATCATTCAAAGTTAATAAATGAAACATCAAGTAGACACGTTTTAAGCTGAACCACTGACTCAAACTTGATATCAGATGCTGGATGAATGACACCAAATACTGTATCTATGTTTACTTATACGGAGCAGTAAATTAGAATATCAAAAGTGAATATTTAAGGCCAGTTTGAGTGGTTGCAGTTGCAAGTTTCGTATTTTCTTAAAACCTATATTCTGAAAATCAGTGAAAGAATTGATTTCTAATTTTCAGAATCAGCATAATTAATAAAAGCAATAATTAATAAAAGCAATAATAAAACATGTAAGATAGTCTAAAACATGACTCTACTTATTTCAGATCCTAACATGATTTAAAGGATTAAAGTCAACATACCATATAACTGTGAAAATTATATGAGTAATAAAAAGGTTCAGGAATTTCATAAAACCCATGTTTTGAAGATCAGGAAAAAAATTGGTTTTCAAATTTCTATAACCCAATTTCAAATAAAAATAATAAAAGCATAAATAGTTTTGATTCAAATACACAGCATGCCATATATTACTATTAAAATTATAAAGAAAAAATCTGGTCTTTGGCAAGTAGCAGCAGCTGTGCGGCCTAAGTTGCTAACAGAACAATATAGAAACAAAACAAACAAGCTTTATTTTAGATCCATACCTCATATACACTTAGCAAGATTAGCATTTGAAGAATGGTAAAAGATTTTCATTTACACACAGAGTCTTTTCCAACTACAATCTCAATAATTTCTATAAGTACAAGAAAACCCAAGCTCAGAACATCACTGATTCCCATGCTGAATATCAGCACCGATCAATGTTTCCACATATATGTATCGTTGACTAGCGATCGAATGATCCAGTTAAACTGATGGGATGTAATAAGTAAAATATACATAGCAAAAATTGAGAAAAAAGAAGCCGATCGAGGCACCTGAAGGATATCCATTTCATCCCACGAGCAGACGAAGATCAATCATGGATTCCCGAGTTCATAGATTTACGTATGAGATACGGATTGTAATTTTATATGAGGATATACTCCACTTCAATTGGGATTTCAATGGGTCTGTCCGGCTCCCTTCAGCCCATACCTCAAGCCAACAAATGCTCTCCCTCTTGTCTGTAGCGGTGCGGTGCAAATTTAAATGTGCACTGTGAAGTTGAGTTTACTAACTTAAAAACTCTATCAAATATTAAGGCCAAATTACCAAAAACAGTGTGTTTTACCAAATTGGTAAAAAAAAGCTCTTGAGATAAATTACCAAAAAACAGGGTCTTTTAACAAATTGGTAAAAAAAACTCCTCGGACAAATTGGTAAAAAAAGCTCTCTATGTGATAGATTGATTAGTCAATTTTTTGTGAGTGAAACATGTTTTACTTTGGACTTTAGAATTCCTGATATTTCATATTCATATTTTAGGTTTTATGAATTTGACATTTTTTAGTTTTCTAACTTTGATTTTGTCATGAAAAACACAGAACTAACAAATCTACTACATTTAAAAAATTTACTGAAAAATTCTACTCCATATGAAAATTCTATTTTATATGGAATATTTTTGCTATTTTATATGTCGTAGAATTTTTTAAAAAAACTTACAGAGTAGTCATATTTAAAATATTAATACTAAAAATAAATAAATTTATATGAAAATTCTATTTTATATGGAATATTTTTGTTGTTTTATATGTCGTAGATTTTTTTTAAAAAACTTACAGAGTAGTCATATTTAAAATATTAATACTAAAAATAAATAAATTTATATGTGTTTGCTCGACTAACCAATTTCATACGTGTGCTCAACAAAACTCGGTAAATGTTCCCTGACATTTACCTCACCAAAATGGTGGTTTGCCTACCGGGGTTAAAATAAATAAATAACTAAACTAAAATAGTCACTGTAATATAAAAATAAATAAGTAAACATACATTGAAATATACTCCCTCCGGTTCTGAAAGATCTTTACACTTTCCACTTTTAGCAGTACCAGAAAGATCTTTACACTTCCTTATTTGCCTTATTTGACAAATAAATCTATACAAAACAGTGTCAAACAGTGCCAAACAGTGTCAAATAGTGCTAAACAGTGCCAAACAGTGTTTATTTCCTTAAAAACTATGAATTCAAAGTGTCAAGATCTTTTGGAACCGGAGGGAGTATATATATATTAAAAAGAAATATACTACGTATAAAATTTTAACTATTATATATAACGGTTCCTTAACGGTGCCATTAACAAATAGGAATTGAACCATTAACAAGCAACTAAAAAATTTTGGAACCGAACCGAACCAAGTCATAACGGTTCAGTCTGGTTCGATTCTCTAGTTCTTGGTTCCAAAGTCCCGACCCTAATATTCCTTTAGAGAGAGTAATAATTATACATTAGAACATTAGCAAAATAAATAGAAATAATGAGACCAATATGTATTGTTGCTTAATCATCCAACAGTGCCGATAGTATTATCTGTCATTGTCGTAATATCATTTGAGGCCATACAATTACAACAAATCAACACCACCACACTATGAAAAAATGTCATATAGAGATGTCGGAACACAAAAAGGAAACTCAATTGCTTAACATTCTAACAGAAATAGCCTCATCCTTAACGGTGTTAGGTTTTATTGTGTGTGTAAGACAATTTTTGTAAAACTGCTAATTAGCTAGTCTTAAAAAATGCCTTGAACTTGATATTATTTGTGTCTAGACACCCTCTTTGAATAAAAATTATATGCAAATCTTGATGTAATTTTTATAATAAATCAGCATATATGATGACATAACAAAGAATTAGTTTGTGTAAATAATCGAGTGACTAGAGAGCACTGCAAGAAAAAAGAATGAATGCTCTACTAGCAGTCTCATTCATGATTCAAACCCAGAACGAATGTGATTAATATATAACGCCAGAGGTTTGATCAACTAAAAAATCCATATTATTAACTACGGAGTAATAAATAATGAATGAATACAAGAAAGAAAAAAAACAGTGGGGGTTAATAAATAGCATGAAGAGTGACTCCAACACCATCCATATGTAAATAATGGATATATTGGTTAGCTAGTAGCCTAGTAGTATTCATCTTGTTCTTGATTGATCATTATGAATATGTTTACTTTTTAGAGGCATTCCCGTCAAACAACTCATCAATGTATGTTTCGATATCTTCAGCCTGGTACTTGACGTACTTCTCAGTCTGTCTCCCTGGGGTGAAGGTTTGGCTGAACCTTGCAAGGAAGGATCTGTAGGCAGGGATGACCATATTGGATATGGACACCCGGAGCTCTGACTGAAGCTGTTCATCACTAATTACCCAACTGCTTTGAGTCTTATGTATCTCGTCGAACAACGCATTAAAGCTCTTGAACCTCTCTTTCAAGACTGGTTTATTCACCTTCCCGTGCACGCTCAACCCCTCAATGGTCAAACACTGTAACAACCTTCCCCACGTCTCTCGCTGGTAGTTCTTGTGATACTGTCTTAGATCTGAGGACCGTTTCCTGCACCACTGGTCCCCCATCAACGCGTTGATCTGCGGCGACCCTCTTACTTTCTGCAATATGTATCTCCCATTGTTCATCATGAAAATAGAGCTTAATGAGATGTCTTTATAGAGCTTGGATTTGCTATCCAAGTTAGTATCCAGTAGATCCATCACTTTTGCTATCTGCATTTCCAGAGGTGATAATTGTCTAGCTTGTGCCCCAGCAGGAGGCTTCTGAGAACCAGAAGTCTGCTGTTGCTGGGAATGGTGGTTGTAGTCGAAGCCTGATAATCCCGAAGCGGAATCTGCTCTGTCTATCTTTTGGTGTTGTCTGAACACCTGTTCAAGCGTCTCCTTGTAGTCACCTGCTAATTTTAGATAATTCATGGTGTAGCGTGTCAAGGGATGAACCGCGCCTCCTGGAACAGGCGTTTTTCCTGAGTCAGACTTGATGGAGTTTTCCAGCTCGGTGAAAATACCAACCATGGCCTCCCCTAGTCTGCCGCTAGTTAGTGTTGCTTCGGCTTTTAACTCATTCACATAATCTGTTGGAAAATTTGTGTACATGACAGGAAGAAGATCCCGCATTGCCTCATACAAATCAAGGAACTTGAACAGCTTTTCTGCTGATCGTTTTGTCATTGCCACAGCTTCAGGGAAAACGAAGAACTGGATCACGAAGCTGCGGGATAGGCAAGTGAAGATGCTCTCCGCGGACATGGATGACGATGATCCGTGGCAATCATGGAAAACTGCATCCGCGAGCTTCCTTTCGCAGGAGAACATCACCTTGGTGAAGTGTCTGAATGTGGCGATCCAGGCATCGATCTCTCTCTCCACAGTCTCCCAATTCATCTTCTGGACATCGTCTATGCTGTGTTTGTCAAACCCTAGCTTTAGAAGGCTCTCCTCCAATGCGTTTCTTCTTGATATGAAATACACCTTCCAGCATTCCGTTTCGTAGCCGCAGAAAATCATGGTCGTGGCTAACCTGTTCAAACACGACACCGTTTTCTCGTCGTATCCGGGGAAATTGTTATTCTCTTCTACCACCTCCGGCTGTGGTTTACTACCACTATTCCCGGAATCCTCCTCAACGCCGCCGCCGCCTTCCTTCTCCTCATTCTCCTCCTTCTTCTCTGCATCTTGGTTGCCGTCTCCAGCTGACGGATCGGGAACCTTATGATTTTCAAGAGAGGATCTGAATTCTTCTTCAATATATGAAACGGCACGATGCAGGACGCCTCCGACACGGCTGATGATCGATTCGGCATATTTTTCTTCAGAAGAGGAGTGTAATCGTAATAGTGATTTGTATAACCTGGAGGTCCGTTTCACAGATTCAAACAATGTTGCCGCCTCTTCTTCCTCTAGCTGGCTCAATTTCACCGCTGCTTCACCACCGCGGCATGTTCCTTCAAATTTGGCCTCCACCAGCGATGCAAATTGGTCCACATATATCGGAACATCAGGAAGAGACTTTGGCCGTGGCGATCCATCATCGTCTCCTACCTTGGAGCCAAGTCCCATATTATCGTTATCGGAGATGTACTGATCAATCTCTTCCGATACCTTAGATAGATCCGGAGGGAGCTCTGGCTGTTGAGAAGACTCTACATCTCCCCCGCCTTCCTCATTGCCGGTCAATGTTGTGCCGCCCTGCTGCTCGCCATTATCGCCTTCTCCGGTTTGATGATGATCAACGGCTGATATCTTCTCCGCTTGATTCTCCTGGAGATCATCCGTAGCCGTCGTCTCGCTATCATCTCCATTGCGCTTGGCTTCAGGCACGGTGTCGGTGGGTGGTAGATTCTCTGGTGGAGAATCATCTTTCTGTAGATTTGCTTCCTCAGGTTCTGTTTGTTCCTTTTTTGGGGTGTCATTGTCTTGGATGTCTCCTTTCATGGGGACAGAGGAAGAAGGTGTTTCTTGTTGAGACATCTCTTTCTCTCCATCCATGTCTTTTAATTTCTTCTACTAGATATTGAATTAATTGAAGTCCAAAACTTTTTCTTGTCTGAAATTGTAAAGATGACATGAAAGGCCAAACGCAGGGGAGAGAGAAAGTAGAATGAAGATGAGCTTGCAGAGAAATGTGTATAGGCAAACCGAAATTAAAGGAGAGTTTTGCTCACTGCTCTCCTTCATCATCCTTTCTGTTCCATTTATTTTGTCTTAATTGTTTTTTCTTTTGGCCTTTTTCCATTGTTGTCAAGCACCCCTAAAATCATACCAGACTTTTAAATAATAAATCAAATCAAATTAAAATAATGAATTATCTCAAAATAAATGTCATATTTCCATGAGAAAATTATGCTATATAAGACGAAAACTCATTTATTTTCCCAATATATGACCTTATTAGTGTTTTCTCAAAATAATACTCCGGTACATAAATTCATAATACTTGATTAATTAATTAATTAATAATTTTTATGCACAAAATAAATGTCATATTTCCATGAGAAAATTGTCCTATATAAGACCAAAACTCATTTACTTTCCCAATATATGACCTTATTAGTTTTTTCTCAAAATATTATTTAAACTCATTATTAGTTTTATGCACTAATATGCCCTTATTGTTATTATGAAATTCTAACTTATTCATTTTTTCACAACCCTAGCCACTAGTCATTGCCGCAGCATCACACTCCGTCATCGTAGCACCACTTGCCCCGTCAGCGCTGCACCCGCCACCCCGTAACCCCGGCACCCGCTAGCCCATCGTCGTGGCACATGCTGCCACCAACGCCGCAACACCTACTCCACCATCGTCGCGGCCGTCCCCATGCACCGCAGCCATCCACATGCTTGCACCTACTCGCGGTCGCCGCCATCTCCATGCCACGGCTGCCCAGGGATGGATTTGAGGGTGGGGGGTGGGGGGTCGTCCCCCTTGAACTTTCAAATTTTTCTATTATATATGTGATAGTTTCATAACATTTTTATGCTTTAATTAGATATGTGTGTGTGTGTGTTCGGCACCCTTAACTTTTAGTTTTCAAAATTAATATATAACCTTACATTATGTAATACTTAATTGGAGAGTTAAAAGATGAAACGTCTAAAATAATTTACATAATATAAACAAATAAACAATAGAACAACTCATTGTTTAAGACTTAGGACTCGGTTTGTAAAATATCTATATATAATTTATTAGATAATTAGTACTCGGTTTGTAAAATATCAAACAATATTAAATACGAGACACACTAGTTAAACAATTTTTAGATCATGTGAAGTGAATCTAAAATTACACAATTCATTTACTTATTACTTTTTAAAAATAATTTATTGCATATATAATAAAGTTTAACTTATTTTAGACATTAATACAAATTTAATATGCACCATATATAAGAATTAGCAATATAATATTATTCTAAAAATAATAATCTCAAACATAGTATTGTAATATTAGCAAAACTCCTCGTGACTCACGAACATCCTTCTTGGTAAACAAAATTTGCAATTCAAAAATTAATTCCTTGTACCGATAAGATTCATGTGATTAAACATGACAAGAGTTATAAAAAGCATTGGTGGTTGTGCACAGTTTAAACTATTTATCTTCAAATAATTTGATAAAATGTTATATATCCTCTTTTACTTTCAAATAATTTTTCTTTGATTTGCTATTTTCTTACGCTTTAATGTATCAATACTTTTTTCTAAAGCACTTATAATTATAAAATCAAAGTTATTTTTCCATTGTCTAAACTTAGAATGTAATATATTTAAATGTCATCATGTATGTACCTATGAATTCTTTTTGAATAAAAATTAGCCGCAAAGCCCTACTTTGTTGAAAAAAATCGCCCTGGTACACTAGTGGAAAAAAATTCACCCACTACACTAACGAAAAAAATTTCACCTCTTGACTCGAAATCCTGGATCCGTCCCTGCGGCTGTCACCATGCAGCAGAGCCGCAGCTGCACCATGTCTTCGTGCCTACCCGCAGCCATCTTCAATTCACGTCCGCTCGATGCGGCGTCGCGACTGTCCCCACTCCCCATGTCGTGGCCGTCCTCATGTCATGGCGTCGTGGTAGTCTCCATGTTGCGGCCGTCCCCATGTCACGGGCGCCATCCAACCATTGCCTCCATTTGCACGGCCGCACTCCAACTCGCCGTCTGCATTATCATTCTTCTTCTTTTTTCAATTTTTTGAAATTAGGATTTGTTGAAATTAGGGTTGTGGATATTAAACGGGCAGTGAATTTGGCAATAGATATGGTTGAATATGAGGGGTGAATATGGAAATAGATAATGTTGTACATGGGCAGTGAATGAATGCATTGACGAAGTGTGTTGTGCAGTGAATCAAAGGCAATTGATCGTGTCATAATATTGGCAAAAAGTGCAGTGATTGAGACAGTAGTGAAGTAATGTAGAGCAGTAACACTGTTATGAAATGCAATATATTTAATTAGATGTAACATACTGAAATTATTAAATCTAAAAAATAAAAAAAGAACTATAAATCAATTATTAAAGTGGATGAGAAGAGGACTAATTTTGGCTGAAGTGCAGTGATATGTTACCGTACGTGCAGTAATGTTGTGCAGTAATGTCAGTTAGTAACTCCAGTATAAAGTGTAGTATTTTTAGTTGGATGAAAATAGTGTAAAATGCACATGTTTTAAATAATGATATTTTGGTCATTAAACATTTTAATATGAACAAATTTTTCTTTTTACTTATATAAATGTCTAAAAACATAACTAGTCATATTCAGGGGAACTCAATATGTTTTGGTTATATTCCGAGAAATTTCCCTATTTCCATTGTTTAGAAAACAATATATGGTCTACAATAGTTCACTTTATCATACTCAAGCTTCAAGCCAAAACAAGAAACATAAAACAGGATGAAGGTAGAACAACTCAAATTGACGGGTCCTGAAAATTTTAGTCCAAACGAAAACATTCTCAATATAGAGCATGTTGGAATCATCAAGACTCTTCGATCTAATTGACGTGCACTTTGCCGTGGTGTGCACTCAAAATAAATATCAATACAACGATTATACATAGTATAACGAAGTAAGGTTCGTATCCTCAGGGAAAGGAATATTTCTTTTATGTAACTAGTAACAAGGGGGTTTTAGGTGTGTTTGATTTTAATTAACACTAAGATGAATGACTTATATGAGTTTAATTAATAGAGACGAGGACTTGGTTTTGCTTTTATCTACTTAATGAAATGTTCGTCGATCCCGGTTATATCTTTAACTATCTTCCCCTCGAATACTCAATCGAGGAGTATCTCCAATTCATCGAGGATAGTTATTAATAACGAGACACGTTTATTAATACAACTTACTACCGAGTCAATATAGAACACGCGTCGTATATTAACCCGATATTAGCAATAAACTTAAGATGAAAACGATTGAGATTGATAACCTCAACACAAATGGTTTATTGGTTTAACCAATATAATTAATTCCCCTTAGATTATTAACCATGAGACGCATGTCTCCTAACCCTCTTGCATTAAATCTTCATCTCTTTCCCAGAACAGTTCATATCGTCGTATTCTGCCTCCCAACCTCCTCGAATGAGACAGTTGTAGCTGTAAGAGTAAAGGACAATGATCCGATCTTGAGGAAACCAAGTGCCTGATTTGTGCCTACGGGAAAAGGGTCATCCAGTCTAGGTTAGCAACACCCCTATCTAACCGAACTTTAACACTCCGTCCACCTCTCTGTTTATTATCATATGTCCAGGGAAATCCCCAAAATCCTAAATCATGGAGATTGCAGTGAGATAAAACCTCTCTAAAGTCCATCATCCGTTTCTCTTGACGTTTAGTACTTGAGAAATGCTCGCCCTGCCACATTACCTCATTGAAATCACCAATCATCAACCATGGGGCATCTGAATTTGGTTTAATCCGACGCAATAAGGTCCACATAAGATGTCTATCCTGCACTCTTGGCTCGCCATACACAAAGGTTCCACGCCATTGAGTTCCATTAACCCCCTCACGAACCAGTACATTAAAATGATACTTACCAAATGAAAGAAGCTCCACCACTAGGCTCTCATCCCAATAAAGCCCCAAACCCCCACCTTTACCTTCTCCCTTAATTGTGAGACAGTTTTTCAAACCTATACGCCATCTTAAACGTTGAACGTAGTCGCAATCTTGCCTCGTTTCGGACAAGAAAATGATTTAGGCTTATACATCTGCACTAGGCAGACCAACTCTTGAACTGTCCGGGGTTGCCCAATTCCCCGGCAGTTCCAACATAGGGCATACATTAGGCCCGGGGAAGCTCCTCAGAGGAGCCTGTCGATGTTGCCAAGTCATTTGAATTCAATTCCATGTTATGCACCTTTCTCCGCCTCTTAACGTCTCTGCTAATAGTCGTAGCATCAACATTTCTTCCATCGCTCCCTCCCTCTGTCATGTTAACATCTGCTGCCACAAGGTTCCCTTCAGGCAATACCATGTGTGGAGCCTTATCATTCTGTGTAAAACAAAACTCTTCCTCCCCATTAGGCGTCGTGTCACTGTGAACAAGGATCATACGCCTTTTGCTTAATGAATTGGATCCTCTATGATTCTCCTTAGGTTTGGAAGGGCTGGTTGGAGTACTTTTAAGTTCCTCCTCTTCCTCACCATATTCTTCTGAGCCAGAGTGAAAAGGACCAGACCCCCTATCACCCTTCCGGACCCTGCGCCCACGGTCGTCCCCTCCTGGAAGCCATAAACCTCTCCTCCCGAACTCCGGGGCTATCAATACCTCTGGATAAACAATTGCCTCAGGAGGGTGTACTCCATCCCCGTGCTCCTTTGAAACATGTCCCACGAGGCCACACACTCCACAAAAAACTGGCATCTTCTCATACATGAGTCTGAAATACATCTTCTTTTTGTTTAGAGTTGTACTAGCAACACGTGTTAGCGGTTTGCGCACATCAATCAGCACCCTTGCCCGGACACCATCACCACTACCCCTTACGGAATCAGCATCCAGTTTTAGAAAAGTGCCCGCTCTCCGAGCCAACTGTGTGGCAATGCTGCCGGTTCGGATTTTCTCTTTTAGATCGTGAACTTGAACCCATGCAGGAAAAGTTTCAAGTTCAACCGTCTCGACATCTGC